ATCTTTTGTTCAAATTAAAACCATTCTTCTTTTATAAATGTACTTATTAATACAAATCATCCCATTATTTGTTTGTCCTTTTTCCTCATTTATTTCCTATTAAACGAAACTTGAATATTTGACTGTCATCGTTGTTGACAGACATTCCAGATTGAACTTTTCTTCGGCTTTGCTTTTATTCTCATTTTCATAGTTAAGCCGTCTTAGGGGAAATATTTTTTCCTGCGACCCACACCCTCCTCGAGAGCATATGCCTGATGCGGCTTAATGGAAACTTAGGGGGAACATGTTTCTCCCATCCCCATCCCCATCCCAATTCCAATCCACAACCCAAACGCCCCACGCACGCATATTCCCGATCTCGGTAAGTTTTCGCCATCTCAAAATCGACATTAGCGGAATTAAAAGTTTTTCCATGCGGTGGAAATCTTTGTGAATAAAAGTTTTGCGCTTCCTTCCGCTTTATTAAGCGCAAAGAATACAAAAAAAATGCGGCAGAATGGGGAAAAAACTTTCATTTCAACGAACATTATAATTAATTCTCCTACCATCTTCCATGACAATCTCCACGCCACCATCGCTGCAGCACACAAAGAAAAAGCAAAATTCAGCAATTTGTGTTGTTCATTTTTCGGAATCCTCAACTAAGACGCATTTCCATTTAAGCAGCCTTTACAAACGTCAATTATTATCTTTCTATTATGCAGATTTAGAGAAGGGTTGGGAGAGGCTGCCTGCTATCAACGCAGCCACAAATCACGGAAACCGCTTTAATGCAATTCAATTAATTCAGTTTTGAATCCAATTGAAGATATCAGTTTGGGTGTCAAAATAAACCAAACCGAAAACGAAAACAAACACAATAAAAACAAGAAAGCCGGGCCCGAAAGCCGAAGCCTTAGATACCCTGGCAGATCCATCGTTCCAATTGCACGACTCGACAGATCAATCTCCAAACGCTTACATATCTAGTTGTAGCGTTGTAGCGTGGAAATACATTGGTTTGCCCAATATTATACCTTATCTTATAGAAAATTGTTTTATTTATTGGATAAAATTAAACTGGAATTTAATTGCTGAGCTAATACTTAAGTCCGGCACTGTATGTACTATACCCTTTATGAATTCTTTGCGATATGCTTCCTTCTTTGAATTACAAATCATCTTGTTCAAGCCTATGTATGATATATTTTGCAAGAGTATAACAATAGCAAATGCCAGTTGATGATAAAATGTCGGCGAAGAAATTCATGGGTAGGAGGTGGAGCGACGCAGTGTGTGTGTGTGTTCATGCTTGTGACGTCATTACGTAATCAAATCAAATAACAATTTGTACTTTGTTAAATTTCTTGTCGCCATCGATTGCCCCTCGACGACGCGTCGCCCCTCTCTCTCCATGTCTCTCTCTGTCTCTCTCTCTCTCTCTCTGACAAAAAAAAATGCAAATTTCTTGTCGAGCGATTTTTTCTCGCTTTTGTAGCTTATTGTTTTTTCTTTCTCGGTTGTATCTGTGTTTTATTACGTGACAACTTTGAATTAGTCGCTGGCTTGGACTTGGATTTGGATTTCGTTTGGTTTGTTTTGTTTTGTTTTGTATTTGATGCCCGCCTGCTTTTGATTTCGGCCAAGTGGGGTCTTCCTCTATTTCTCCCTGTCCCCGTGTTGCTCTGTGTGTGGCGCAAAATTACTCGGTGTCGCATTTTTATTGCCCAGCTGACACATAAAGTCAAGTGGCTGAACTCATTCGACGACAGACCCGCCGGCGCATCGTTGGGCTCTTTCAATGGGTGGATCAGTGCCGTGTGGGGAAGCGGCTCCAAGTTTACGAGTTCAACCAGGAGAATTATGACAATTGCTGGCTAAACTGACTGATTGAATGGGGGCATGGGAACAATAAGGGAATAAACAAAGGTAACTTCAGTGAAGAGTGATTCCTAGACTTACTCCATAGTGGAGCTTAACTTTGAACTATTTCTACTCACAATGAAATCTCATGAAAGTCCATTTTCAGTTAGTTATCACTATGTAGTTTTATGTTTTTGTGAATTTTCTGAATTGTTGAAATACTTATAATGGTTAAAATGTATGTTCATATTATGTTTATGTTTCAAACGAATGGGCAATATTAGTCGAAGAGTCCAAGAACTCATAAATAAGCTGGAAACACTTGTGATCAAGGAAGGAGGGAACCAACTGAACGAGACTTATGGGATTGATAGATATCCTTGCCTAACGCCCAATAATTATGATTCTGATTTACTTATTTGATTTGTAAGCCATACCCAAATGTGTTCAATAGAGATCTCTTAATTAATTTGAAAATTCCCAAATCACATACAAAACTCATTTTGGCCCCGAACTTATCGCGATGAAATGCGTTTGGGCAGATGCTGTTGTTGTTTGGTGTTGCTGCACAACAAATATGCAAATTAAGACAGGGAAACTAATTTCGCCTAATTAATGATGAACGATTAAAATGGACTGTCAAATAAGCCACACACAGAGATGTAGATTAGACAGACAGGCCGACTTAATAGCTCCCACTGGCAGCTTAATTGAAGCCCCCAAGAAAGTCCCAGCTAGGTGCAAAGTGCAGGCCCAGAGCTGCGATGACCACTCCAAGTCCCACCTCAGAGTCCAAGGTGTCACATATCAAGCCCATCCGACAGAGCAACCAGCAAGCAACCATCAAGCAGAGACGACAAACAAACGAATTGGAAACCAAACAGACAGACAGCCGGATAGTCAGACACTCTGGCAGCGGCTTGGGAATGGAAATGGGAGAATGGGGGGAGAGTGAGAGAGAGAGAGAGAGAGACAGCTGAAAATTGACTTTGAGCGTTTACGAAATGCTCCGTGCCGGCAGAGCTCTAGGCAGCGGCAGGGGCTGTTGGAGCCACGTTGAAATCAATTTTGCGAAATTTATTACATTAAAACGTTAGCGCCAACGTGAACCTGACCAACGACAACAAAATAATAATACCAAATCATGCACGAAGCCAAAGCGTTGATACCCTTCCTAGACACGATAATAGACCCACGAGAATATTTATATTTTGTTATCCACAATGGTCGCGCGAAGCACAGACGCATACAAGCACATTTACACACCAACTACATAGCCACGATGCAAAACTGTTTGATGGAACAAGTTTCAATCAGGCTGCTGATGGCCCGTTTAAACAGTTCCTTACGTTACCTGTTACGTTACGTTACATGTTAGAGCTGAGGAATGAATGCGAATGAATATGGTCATATGGTCACGCCATCAGCCTGATCCCGTTAGAATCAGGGTGATAACCCTTTGAGATATCCCATTTCACGATGGTGCATGCTTTTACAACAAAATCCGAGAGATATCAAACACCCCCAACGCAGTTGGAATACTCTTTCCCAGTGTGTATTCCATTTCCAGTAGGCCATCGAGCGTTGGCATCAAATTACAAGATCTCCCATGCATGTCTCTGGGCCGTGTTTGAGCAGAGAGATCACGGCTCAGCTCGGCTCAGAGATGCAATGCCTACCAGCTGATGGATTTTGGATCTGTTTGCATGCGGCGCGATTGCGTGGCCATCGGATGCCCAACATTCAACATTATTTAGCTTTTATTTTCGCACATTTTGCATAAATTAAAATGCAAAGTCGCTGCTGCTGCTGCTGCCGCCGATGCCGCTGCTGTCGCTAGTGGTAGTCGCCCGCCGCTTGGGTCCCGGGGTTCAGTTACCAATTTTGTGTGCAGCTGTTCGGTTTGGATGCGGCATGGCATGGCGTAGACGCGGTAAACACATAACGATCCAATGGAAATAGTCACAGAAAAGAAAAATCAAAATCCAAGGCGTATTATAATGTGTGCACAATTAAGTGGAGTGGTAGTGGTGGTACTAGTGCTAGTGATGGCCTCGCCACCATCCAGTGAAAGTGCCAAACTACCGACGCGCCAATATCCCGCAGGAGTGGACTTCTTCGAGCACGAGTTCAGCAGCGTAGCAGCAGGTGAGTCCCGTCCCTCAATTAAGAAAGATATTTCCTCGAATAAAATTATTCTGTATCTATTGCAGACGAGTACGATCCGTATGGGCCGGACATTGGCAACGATGACTTGGGCATCGATGATCCGGAAACGATGCCCCGCCTGTTCCAGGGCGACATAGCCATCGATCCGTACACCTACATAACCCTGCGACTGGGCGTTAATCCAATGCGACACCCGAAGCGCCTATGGCCCAACGGCACCATACCCTTCGAGATCAGTCCACGGTACGTGAACGAGGAGCGGGAGGCCATTGTTCAGGCCCTGAAGACCTTCAACTCGCTGACCTGCATCAAGTTCGTTCCCTACGACGGCGAGGTCGAGGACTATCTGCTGATTGAGCCGCCCGAGGAAGGGCCCAAGGGCTGCTGGTCCTACGTGGGCAAGCGAGGCGGCGAGCAGATCGTGTCGCTTCAGCGGCCGGACGAGACTAGCGCACACTGCTTCAGCAGCGAGGGCCGCATCATGCACGAGCTGATGCACGCCATTGGCATCTACCACGAGCAGTCGCGCGCAGATCGCGACAATTTCGTGAAAATCCACTGGGAGAACATTGTGCCACGGTTCCGGAAGAACTTCAAGCTGATCTCCCGCAAGAAGGGCAAATATGCCTTCGACTACGACTACAACTCGGTGATGCACTACGGCGAGTTCTACTTCAGCAAGAAGAAGGGTCAAAAGCCCACCATGACGCCGCTGCAACCGGGCGTCCGCATCGGCCAGCGCAAGACGATCAGCAAGATCGACTGCCTCAAGATCAACGAGCTGTACGGCTGCCTTCAGGGCCGTCGTGCCAAAATGTACCGTGGCTTCTGCCACCTGCTGGGATTGTAGATTCCTTTAAGCTCTGCTCTCGCTTCCCCCTTTAATATGAATCACATTGATTTGCTAGTTTCATAAATTAATCCGTAGACTATAATAAATTATCGCCCTGAAACTCGAAAATTAACTCTTAGTGGTTTCTTTTTGTTGAGAAATGGGAGCCCTGCAAATATGTTAAAAATCATTATTAGGTACAGTTCCGCGATGTCCACTTACATATGTAAATACGAAAACGGGTCGCTGCCGTCGTGTTTACAAGAACTAACATATTTATTATCGTTCTGATGATTTTGAGGATATTTTCTAAAATATTCTACATTTTCCAAACGATGTCCTTTTGCTTGTGTAAATGATTTATTTTATTAAACGACGGCAAGGGCAATGTAATTCATTTGCAACAAAAATTATTATCCTGCTATCGCCTGACACATCCTAGGTCTCCTTGTGGTAAGGCTTTTCGCCGCCAATCTGAAAATTATCAATTGATTTAGTTCATATGCACAAAAACATAATAATAACGCTATTTACCATTCATAGGAAATGCTAATTTGGCGCGAAAAACGTGCTGGAACACATTTCACAATCCATATTCTAATCCTAAATATGATAACCAACTCCTTCACGAGCAGTATTTATAGTTTCGTTATTTATATTAATTTATTTACGATTTTTGTGGCTTTTCTGAAGGTATACAGTGGATGTGGTTGTTGGAGCCTTAAGACTACATATAAAAGCTACGGTGATAGCCATGACGGCGACTGTTGGTAGGGCCCGCACATTAGCGGGCACTATACCCGGTCTAGGGCCTCGACCAGGACAATGCTGTTGCCGCGGATGACCACCATTCCCACGTTGTTCTTTGTCTTGTCCTTGCACTCTTCGATGGTGTCGTCCAGCACCACGTTCATAAACGGGTCGAAGCCGCGCAGGATGCCGGTCACAGCGCGTCCGCCGTTGAGCTTCAGCATCATACGCTTGTCCATGTACTTTTTCAGCTCTGGGGGATGTGCTTTCGACATTTTTAGTTAATATTTTCCAATTTTCCAAACAAATTTGCAGAAAAAGCGGGGATGCCGGCTACACGCCAAAAATGTCTTCCTAACGCGTGGTTACAAAAACTCTAACGCGTGTAGCGTATTACAGTCTGGCATCCTCCTCGGAGGTTGGAACGTTTTTATGGTCGTCCGACACTATACTGATGTATTTTTCATGTCTAAAGACAGAGACATATATGCAAAGCGACAAAAATTCTATATTGATAAACTTTGCAGATATGAGTTTGACATGATTATAACTCTAAGAGTGCCACTGCTCTGCGACATATAACTGGAAGAAGCGACTGGAGCTTAGTGTCATACGACCACCACACCATGCCAGACTTCGTGGTATATTCGCTCATTTTGCAATTCCGTTGGATGCATTCTGGTCCGCCCACATTATTCAATAAAAACTAGCTGCAATTGTTATTGTTTGAAAAAGAAATTAATTTTATTGTCATCGGTGTCTTAGCAATGTTTTATCAGGGCTGCCAGATCCTGTAAAATAGTAATACTGTTGCCAGATAGGCCGAAAAAGATTATTTGGTCACACCGCCGAGTCGCTCTTCCTCATTTCCACTTTGGACGAGGTTAGGTAAGACACGCGCTGCGGTAAAAGTAGAATTATAATCTGTGGGAAGTGCTGTACTAGTCAAAAGAAAATTTAATAAATATGCTAAAGTTAATGCAATACGTGACGCGAAAGTCGTGCGAGACCGTCGCACGTCCGGCGTGCAGCTGGGGCAACTTATTGATTTCACCAAGCAGTGCGGAAAAATGTATAACGCAACGTCGCCATTTTCTTTTTTCCTCGACCAACAGAACGACCAGCAGCAGTTTCGCTTTGCTCTGCACAGAACACCCACAACAGTTCCACGGGAGTCCGAGTAGCCCCAGTCGCCAGGAGTCGAGTGTATCCAGTATACCCAGAGTATTATTACCCAGTATATACCAGGCACAGCGTGCGTTTCGTTTGTCACCCAGACTACTAGAAACGTCAAGAACATCCACATACTCTCTCCCAGAAGCAGACGAGCAAGACACTGTGTCCAAACGTGCGAGGAAATCGCCTTTTACTGATCCACACGTGAATACAGAGGAAATCAAAATTGAAGGAGTAATGTAAGTAATCCCCATTCGCCAGACGGCGAAATAATTAACAATATAAAAGGCTTATGAAACGCAGTACGGGGCAGCAGCTGGGCCGCTGGTTTTTTCCGCCGCCATTTTGCTTGCGCTCGGCGTGTTCGTGTATTTCTGTACACCTACGAAACGGGCTGTGATGAGTAATTATGTGCGGGCTGCGCTTGAAAAAGCAGGGAGAAAGAGCAAAGACAGCAAAATGTGAAAACGGGCAAACGGGACAGAGGCCACTGCAAGGCAAAGCAAAAACACATGGTCCGATAATTATTTTGACAGTGGTGTGCTCCCAGTGTTCTCCTCTTCTACTCTTTCTCTCTTATGTAGCCATCCGCAAGAGCAACAACTAACTGGCAAGAACGACAGCGCACGTCATAAAGAGAATTTGCTTGATTTGTGAAACGTGTCTTTGCTTCGTTTGCTTTTTTATAGCATTTTAATTTGTCTGTATGTTCAAACACGAACACGCACACAGGGCGTGCGCTAGTGTGAGAGGAGTGGGTCTTGCCTGTTGACGGCGGCATTTTTCGCGTGCTTCGGCCGCATGTATAACAGTTTCGTAGCACAGTCGACGGCTGTCACTGACTAGTTTTGTCCCGCTCGCACGGCCGCTTTGTGTTCTGTCTGGTGTTTCGTTTATGCGCGGAATGTATCGAGACAGCGATTTTCTGGTTTTCATCATGTTTGCACGTGGAGAAAAGCAATTTTAATATGGTTCGCAAATTGCAGAAACATCTATATCGCTATCTGCAATAATACGACGCTAATTTGATATGAAAAAGATACCAGTATCGCGATTCATTGTAATCGGATTTCATGTTATACGCCGACGTATGTACGCGCTATTAGTTTAAAATGTCAAATGACGCCAATTGATTATGATGAGCCCTCCGCCTGCGATTGTGCCCTTTTGCATGTCAAAAAGCGACAGGTAGACACACAGCAAGTCCCTCCCGCTGGTCTCCCCCTAACCCGTTCGAGACATTTGGCTGTCTCATAAACGTTCGGAGCGTTCCGTTTCCGCTCTGCTGCTAGTTGGCCAAGTTGGCGTGCCAGAGGCCAACAAAACGGAACAGACACAGAAACACAAACACAAACAGAGGGGCAACGGACCAAATTGACAGGGCAATAGGCAGGCCAGGATTGGAGTGGAGCGAGTCGAGTCGTGTCGTGGCATCAGTCCTTGGGTGCAACCCCACATTGATTAATGTCAGAGCCCAGAGCCCCAGTTGTGTGTTGCAGGGGCGGGAGTTGTTTAGTTGAGCAATCCGCGGGCGCTCGAAATGGGTAGAAGGATATATGGTGGGAGAGTTGCATGTTGTTGTCAATCAAATTTGCTTTACTGTTTGTATTATCCGAAATTTATTTAATTTCCATAACACGCAATTAGTTTTATTTAAGTTTATTGCGGTTGTCTCTCGCCGTCTCCCTCTGGCACAGGCCGGTGCCACACAGCACACACACTAGCATAACTCCTCTGTCGGCTGTTTAGCGGCTCTTTACCGACACAGAAAGACAGAAAGAAAGTCAGCCAAGTCTTAGACTCAGACTCAGACATCAGACGTCTAGCGGCAGCATGCGAGCAAAGTAAGACCCGCCAAAGCCTTTACTTTACCACCACTCACCACTCCTCCCCAAAAGAAATACTTAAGAAAAGAAAATGATGCAACTATCTGTCAAGGAAAATCCGAAATCGAAAAATACTAGTCTTAAAGATTAAGGCCAACAACCTTGACTGCTTTTCAGCGCCAAAAGTGTTGCGAGAAGAGCAAGATTAAAGAGATATTTCTTTTCTTGAGCCTTCCTTTCACAACTAGCAACAATTTGGGGCAGATATATTAATTAATTCCCTTGAAATTCCATTCCATTTTCCAGGGCACCACACGATCGTGATTTCGGTCAAAATTCCCGTGGCGGTCGCGATGGCCGCGGTGGCGGTGAAGACCGTCGCGGCGGAGGTGGCGGCGGCGGCGGAGGAGGAGGATCCCGCTTTGGCGCTGGTGGCGGCGGAGGCGATTACCATGGCGTCCGCAATGGACGGATTGAGAAGCGTCGCGATGATCGCGGCGGCGGCGGTGGAGGCGGCGGAAACCGCTTTGGCGGCGGTGGCGGTGGATTCGGTGGCGATCGTCGCGGAGGCGGCGGTAGCCAGGATCTGCCAATGCGTCCAGTTGACTTCTCCAATCTGACGCCGTTCAAGAAGAACTTCTATCAGGAGCACGCCACCGTGGCGGCCCGTTCCCCGTACGAGGTGCAGCGGTATCGCGACGAGCACGAGATCACTGTGCGCGGCCAGGCCCAGAATCCCATTCAGGACTTCGGTGAGGTATACTTGCCCGAATACGTGACGAAGGAGATCCGCCGCCAGGGCTACAAGGAGCCGACACCCATTCAGGCGCAGGGCTGGCCCATCGCGATGAGCGGTGCGAACTTTGTGGGCATTGCCAAGACCGGCTCGGGCAAGACCCTGGGCTACATTCTGCCCGCCATCGTGCACATCAACAACCAGCAGCCGCTGCAGCGCGGCGACGGACCCATTGCCCTGGTGCTGGCGCCAACGCGTGAGCTGGCCCAGCAGATCCAGCAGGTGGCCACCGAGTTCGGTTCGTCCTCGTATGTGCGCAACACCTGCGTTTTCGGAGGCGCCCCTAAGGGCGGCCAGATGCGCGATCTGCAGCGCGGATGCGAGATTGTTATCGCCACGCCCGGTCGCCTCATTGATTTCCTCTCGTCGGGCGGCACGAATCTGAAACGATGCACCTACCTGGTGCTGGACGAGGCCGATCGTATGCTGGACATGGGCTTCGAACCCCAGATCCGCAAGATTGTCTCACAGATCCGTCCCGACCGTCAGACGCTCATGTGGAGCGCCACCTGGCCCAAGGAGGTCAAGCAGCTGGCCGAGGATTTCCTCGGCAACTACATCCAGATCAACATCGGTTCCCTCGAATTGTCAGCCAATCACAACATCCGCCAGGTGGTGGAAGTGTGCGATGAGTTTAGCAAGGAAGAGAAGTAGGTTTTCTTTCACTCCAAAAATATTCGCATACTAAACACATAATCCCCTCGCAGGCTTAAGAGTCTCCTGTCGGACATTTATGACACCAGCGAGAATCCCGGCAAGATCATCATCTTTGTGGAGACGAAGCGACGCGTGGACAATCTGGTGCGATTCATACGCAGCTTCGGCGTGCGTTGCGGCGCCATTCACGGCGACAAGTCACAGTCGGAGCGTGATTTTGTCCTGCGCGAATTCCGTTCGGGCAAATCGAACATTCTTGTAGCCACCGATGTGGCGGCCCGTGGTTTGGGTAAGTTTCCGCCGTGAGCCAGACAGCCACAGCACAACAAAGCACCCTCTTGTAGTAGTTATTGGAATGAAAACGAACAAGGTCTCTTAGAGCATAGAAAAACAGACACACACATTCTATAGTAGGGCTATTGCTTATACAAAAACATTCCCAATCCAACCAAACCCCCCATCCATCCCCAAAATATCACTCACAGAAGTTCACGTAATAGATCATCCATTCATAAGCACACACACACATGCGAATGTACTCCGCAAAGATCCCCCGAACCGCTATCTCCCAATCGCACCCAATATAAATATCGTATAGAGCGCGCCCATACAGAAAAAAAAAAAACAGTTATTAGTCAGTAAGCCAACAAAATGCCAATCGAAAAACTTAAATAATCAACTTGAACTTTTACTCCACCCCCCACCCACCCGCAACCCCCCTTGCACCCGTCCCGGCCCAACCCTTGCAAAAATATCAACAATATACATATGTATGTGTTATACATGTATGTTGTTATACACGCGTATGTGTGTGTATAACACACACAACGTGGTCTTTGTGCGTGTCTCTCTCTGCCTCTTTCTCTCTCTCTCCCTCTTTCTGTTTCTTTCTCGTTTACAGAGGCCGATTGTTGTAGTATGATGGGGAGGATAAATGAGATAAATGAGCGACCCGTGCGACCCTTGCGAGTACTCGTAACTTGAGCGACTTTTGCCAATCTCCAATGAGAATTTTAATTTGGGCAAAAGGATCTATGAAAGTTTCTGACGATCGAGATTCGTTTCGGCTTGGATACGCGCATGAGAGACACGACATATCCCCAACATCATGCATCATATGTGGCCTCTGCAGTCTGTATTGAGAAAGAGTTTAATTGCGACCAACAATCAATCAATCAACAACAACGCAGCCAGCCTCAGGCAACCATCACAACACAACCCAACCCTGGCCAACACTTGCCAGCAGCCGCCCCAGCAGTTAGCAGTTAGAAGGCGGCGCTACAAAGCAGGCAAAAAACAAATAAAAAGACATCCCCAGAAGGCCAGACAGAGGCTGCCAAAACATCGGCGGCGCCCAGACAGCATCAGCAACAGAGACCACCACCAAGGTGTGACCCTTGCCCTGCCTGCCATTCCTGCCCTGACCTGCCAGCGGATGCACCACCAAAAAGCAAGCAGCCAAGCAAAAGACAAACCCACCCACCCACACGCACCTGAACAGCACACCAGCCACAAAAGTCACACAAAAATCAGATCAGATCAGATCCTCACCCCACACACACACACACACACCAAACAACCAAACAACCAACCAAACAACCAACCAACCAACCGACACCTGCCGAGCACGCCCACAGTCTACTCGTAGTTGCTTGTGGAGAGAGAACGAACAGAACTGAACCGAACGATGAGGAGAGCGTTGTGTGCGGGATTGAGTGAGGGAGCGGATCGGATCGGAGCGATATGTGGGCTGTGGGTTGAAGATGATGCGGAATTTCTGCTGACGGTTCTGCTGTCTCCTGTTCTCGTCGTCACTGCTGCTGCTGCTGAGTGCGCCTAGCTACCACGCCCACTGCCTGACTGCCTGTGCCTGTGCCTGCGCCTGCGCCGCCGCCATCGACAATGGCCCGTCATAATGTGTGGTGGCGACTGCTACTGGACAGGCCGTTTGTTGTTGTGTTACCGTTACCCCTCCTGGCCAACGCATCTAGCGGCGCGCCTCCGTCCTGTCCTCCTGTCTATGCGGAGGATGCGGTTGACGTTGCCGGTGCCAATGCTGCGGTTTGCCTGCCGGTGCCGTGGCCATACTACCGTTGACCATGGCCATGACAGTTGCCGTTGGCGTTGGCCGCCTCCACAAACACACCTACACACGCGAGAGTACTACCACTACTCGCGTATATAGAGAGAGGCGCACGCGGCTCAATGCAACAAACTCTCGCCGCTCGCTTCGCCGTGCGATTCTTTTTTTTGGGAGAGTTTGGACCACGAGCTGCGCGACGCCACAAAAGCTTTGAGATTTTGATTGAGAGAGAAAATTGAGTGAAACAATTTATAGCACCAAGAAGGTAACGTACATTTTGAAACATTTTCTTTTTTTCTAAAAACATATACCCAAACAAAAAGACTTTCAACCAAAAACCAAACAAAAAGTATATGCTGCTAAAGTCCAAAAAACAAAAACCAAAAAACAAAACAAACCCAAAAAAAGATAAGTGTGTTCAAAGTGTAAAACATCTCGAAAAAACGCTACAAATTGTTGCAAGCGATTATCCGATCGCCCACAGCGGAAAAACATTTGGCAATTTGAAAAACTGTTGTTCAATTATGATAATTATCCACCCCCCCTATTAATCGCTCTCTCCCTCTGATACCCATTCGTCCATCCGACTAATTTGAACAATTTTTCGCATCTTTTCCGAACCAAACAGATGTGGATGGCATTAAGTATGTCATCAACTTTGACTACCCACAAAACAGCGAGGACTATATCCATCGCATTGGACGGACAGGACGTTCCAACACCAAGGGCACATCCTTTGCCTTCTTCACCAAGAACAATGCCAAGCAGGCCAAGGCGCTTGTCGACGTGCTCAGAGAGGCTAATCAGGTGAGTCCAGTCATTAAGGAGGAAAAGGAGCTAGTAATTTAATTTTCTTCTTTCGCTGTTTTATAGGAAATCAATCCTGCCCTGGAGAATCTTGCCCGCAACTCCCGCTACGACGGTGGCGGCGGACGCTCCCGATATGGCGGTGGTGGCGGCGGCGGCGGTCGTTTCGGCGGCGGTGGCTTCAAGAAGGGCAGCCTGAGCAATGGACGCGGCTTTGGCGGCGGCGGCGGCGGTGGTGGTGGCGGCGGCGGCGACGGTGGTCGGCACACGCGCTTCGACTAAAGCAAGCAGAAACTATTAGAAACAGGAGATTTCATCAGTAGCAAAACTAAACAGCGCTAGGCCCTAAGTTAAATTAAGTTCGTAGCCTAAGTTTAAGTTTTCGTACTTTTCATCGTTTTGTGAGGAAAGAACCACCCCGGATTTGGACTAGACTCTCAGCGACACAAACCGCACTTTGAACATAGCATCTTTATGTTTAAATGATTTGTGAAGTGTAAATTATTTGTTGCTGCCCCACACCCAAAGGGGCAGACCTTTTCCATCTGAAAAACTGCATCAAAAACAAACACTCTTTACTTAAACGCAAAACCAATTTTCAAATATGATGTGATAATTTCTTAATTTAATGCAACAACCTATCACTAAACTAAACAAAAACAAAAAAACCAAGAAAAGAAAAGCAAGAAAGTAGCGCGTTGTGTGTGTATGCTGCAACAGGAGAAGTGTAAGGATGTAAAGGAGAAGGAGGAAGTGTAAGGATCATTCCCGTCTGTCCCATTGATGACAATGAGCAAAGGCTGACATCCCGCTGTATCTGGCGGCCTTTGTTTGATAAATTCTTCAATTTACTTTTTGGAACATTAACTTTTGGATACCTTTTTACGGCACAACCAGAGAATGAAAGAAGTAAGAATGAACAGAAACCGAAACAGAACATAAAACAAACAGAAACACATTAACACTAAATACAAAAGAAATCTGTATGTACAAGGAGAATTTCTCACTTTCATTTTACTTTTTGGAAAAATAATAAACGTGTGTATACCTACTACTACCTAAAAACCGAAAAAACAACCGCCAAGGGCGAGACAATGCACTTCTGGGTTCATTTCATGTATTAAATTCAATTAAGTCTTAAGCTTGGAACACAAAGGAATTCCATTCCTCCCAGGAATTCCCATAAAAGTCCCACAACGGGAACGGGTGTCGGTGCACAGCAATCGTGATTGCAGAATTCTTTTTTTTTCAGACATCATTAAGTACTACAGCACTTGGGGCACACTGGAGCAGTGTCAATACGAGGAGCGCACTCCCTCCCGACCTTCCTACCACCCTGACAGCGTCAGATAAGAAATCGACAGTGGCAGGAGCGGGCGTGGGTTGCAGGCAGCCCCGGCTAGAGGGTGGACACCGCCAACGTCAACCGTGTCTGACACCACATTTAGACGCAATGAAGCCAATTCACTTTCGACTTTGCCTCTCTCCCTCCACGGCGGACACGGTCGAAATGTTGGCTTCGGTCTGTCCTCTCCGCCTTTCTCTTTTTCGTACTACTTTGCTCATATTTCTTATGACAAGTTTGGCTCTCAGGCTGTTGGGCCCCGCTCCACTTGGTCCATCCGTACAGATGCTTGGGCTGGATAATGACGCTGTAGGCGACGTGAATGTGGTTAGATTCGTGGCACAACCGACTGCTGATGGGACGTCGCGTACTTGCGGTTGCGGTGGAGCCGAGAAGGAAGTCATTTGTTAAATTGCTTGAATTGGATAATGTTGGGGGTTGTGCTGGCGGAAGGCGGCCATAGCAATGATTGGACGATATGGAAGACCGAAACAACTTTGAGGAAATTTACCATGAAGTTCAAATGGAAAAGTTTGTCCTGGTGGTCAGTGGACAGTTATCATTTTATGCTTACAGTACTATGTACCATATATTTACATAAAAAAGTTCACGGGGCTTAAAATAATTAATTCTCGTTTATTCCTATTTTATCATCATACCCCTCTTCCTGCTATGTATCCACACATACATATGTACATACAGTGGCTCAAATGTATGTATGCTGATGGACCAATATTTTATCTTCAACAAAACAAACTTTGTATAATTATTAAAATTATTGTCAACAGTTTTAACAATTTAAAACAAAACTATTGCTTTTTTCCATCGCACAGCTTTTTTGAACCAGTTTTCTTGTGAATTTGCTTTTTTTCAATTGAACGTTTATAGATTTATATTTGCTATTATTTTTTGCGACCTGTTTGCACCGATTATGGCCTCATTTTTTCCCACTTGTAAGTATTTTTTTAAAATTCATTTTTAGCGTTTAAACCAGTAGATCGAGTCGGGACGCCGGCGTCAATAACTGGGGACATTGTTAAATTGGGCAGATCCGAGTATCCCAATTAATGTTGAGAGCTTTTCTCCTGATAGAATCAAAAACCATCGTTTTTCCCGAGTTTTTGGAAAGTATGAAGGAGTTTTCCTTTAAGTATCGATAGATATCATTTCTTTGTCCATGTTTACATATAACAAAACCAACCTTACGCACCTAAACAGGCCAATGCATAACTGTCGCTTTCAGGTTCTTCATTTCAAGCACTTTATTGGGAAAAAATGGGTAAAAATGCAAAAAGCTTAAAATTTGACTCGATAAAGGCTCCGATGGAATCCATATGTTTGAATAAAACCAACTAAAGAGTTAAGGGGCCTTTCAGTCTACACTTCAGAGTCCTGTCCTGCGTAGAAGTACGTAATTCTCAATAAGAACACTCCTATAAGCATTAGAAGTTCGGGAGTAAGTTAATGGGCGCCACTTGACTGTCCCAGCATAATAATTGAACTAATAATTGTGATGAAGAAATTCGGTTGAATCGGAAAGTACGAGTGTATTACCTAATCTCTTCTTGTAATTTAAGACTTGGATTACTTAGTCTGCTTCTCCCCTCCTGGGTTCCTGGGTGACGGCACTCGGTGGGGCATTAAGCAGCCACACAACATTTACTCCACGCACTCATCGCATTTACAACTGCCGGGGAAATTGCCTCCAGACCGTACACCTCGCTGCATCCACTTCCACATTAGGCGGTTGTAGGCTGCTCCTCCTATCCAGCTCTAGCTTCTGGCGTTGGCTTGGCTTTGGCTCATTTTCATTTTCATTCTTACCCATGCCACACGCGCACACACACACACACACGACGCAGGGCCCAGGCCCTGGGATTCGCTCGAGCAAGGCCACTTAACCGAGAACGAAGCAGGTCACTTACTTTGGTGTGCGCGCACTCGGATTACAAAGGAGATGCCACCAGCATAAATTCATTAAATTTGCCTAATTTCGTTTTTGCCAGACATGCACAAATACACACACGACGCAAACGGGGACGGGGCGGCTGGGTCGGCAAGACAACCAGTTGAGATTCATTGATTGAGCCCAAGACCCCATCCCATATCATCTCTTTTGCTCTCCTTTCCTCTCATCTTGGCTAACACACACATACACCCATTCGGTCTGTTTGGTAATTTGACGCGTTATCACTTGTGTTGAGTTTGTTATCATTAAACTGGCGCCGGCTGATGTACTTAAGCCAAATCAAAACTCAAGCCGCTCGCTGTCTGTCGAGCGCCCGAAAACCGAACCGAACCGAGCTGGCGCGAACACTGCGCTCAAGTTAATAAAATCCACGCCCTCTCCTGGCCTGGCCCAAACGCGTCCCACATAAAACCGCCCGCACGCACATTAAGCACCCCTTAACTAACATCGAGGCAGGCAGGCAGGAAGGCCACCCGATCTGGTTGGGTCGGGTCGGGTGGGGTCTGGGGGTCGCTTGTTTTTGACAACTTGGGCATAATAAGACATTAACTTCATGCACATCAAATACTTTATTTATGGTCGTCTGGAGTGGGTGCATGTGTGTGTGTGTGTGTGTGTGTGAGTTGAGTCTGCTTCCTTAGGCACTTCAAACGACTGGCACTCCTCCGAAGGCGACTACGACTGGCACGCCCAACGGCAGAAGCAGTAGTAGCATCCAACATCGTCTTAGATTTCTCCAGCGTGCTCATAATTTCTGCCGAGGTCCCGCATTCCATCCCAGGGTCTTCCCCATGCCACCCGCCTGCCCTGCCCTGTCCCCCACGCCTGCTTGATTTTTAATTTCGGTTTTTTTTTTTTCTTCCTGTCTTCCTTATCCCGGTCGCTCCTTGCGCTGTCTGTTTATTCACCATAGCTGCCTGTTTGGCAAATTAAGTGCAATTGCTTGAATTTAATTTCATGCAAATAAAAGTTTTGATTAGACGCCGCCACACCATACACACAC